TAAGTGGTCGAATATAACATATAGGTAGGTCACGGTAGTTTGAAGTCAATTGCCGGTTTATTGACCCCCTTTGCCGTGGAGGTAATTCTCTCGCACTCCCCAGCATTAAATATAATTGCTTCAAGATAAGCGCAAGCATCAGTTATAAACTTAAAGTGGACGGACAGATTTCTAGCTTTAGAAAGTTGATAGATTCAGGAACTTTTAGCTATTACGCTGTTGGAACTATTGAACGCCTAGTAGTCGGCAATATGGAATTGAGAAAAGTTCTGTCCAATGTTTGGTAAATGGTGTTTCCCTATTATTTTAAGTGGCAAAGAAAATTATAATTCAGTTTAAGTGAGTTGTTCCTCGATAAAGGTTGGATCAAATATTTTCTATTTTCTCAAGTTTGATTCTGGGGTAAAACAGTAGTGTAAAAAGTCGTTAACCCTCTAGCTAACTACACGCTATCAACAAGAAAATTTATGAATTTGCTAAAGGCCTTCAACTTACTTGGCATAGGCCTTTTCCAACAGCGCAGACCAGAATTCATTTCTGTCGCTGGAGTAGACGAAACTGAGGCGTCCACCTTCAGTAGGCAGGCGATCATCCACAACGACGTCCACCCAATATCCGAAACGCCAGAAGCGGAACCAAAACATTCCCACATAAGCGAAACCTCCGTTCGCATTCAGGCCAGTGCCATCTGAGCTCTTGACGAAAGACTGACCACTAGGAATCACCTTGAAGAAGAGGTGACTGTATTTGAGAATGAGAGAATACTCCAACTACCATTAGAACATGGTAGCCGTACAATGTTGAAAGAATAAAGCCACTGAATGCTAGGTTAGAAGTAGAATTCAAAATTCTCTGCCATTAAACGAAAGGAGAAGGCAGGTTTAAAGTTCAGTAGTCAATTATTCGCTTAATTTTAGTCAGAAAAGAAAAAAAGATGGTAAATTAATTTTAATATTGGTTTTGTTTGTTTTATTCGGAAAACGGGCCATAAAAGTGCACATTAGTTACCCTAAACTTATTTCCACATTTGTTGCTATTTCTTAATTTACTAGTGATGCATCTGGAGTAATTTCTCGAAATTGCACTTTGCTCGAAGGTGTGGGACACGTTATCGCTGCGTGCGTCATGTGTGTCCATGTGCCTGCATGTCTGCTCGCCAGGATTGGGAGGTGCGGCCGTACAACTCTGTGTGCTGCGACCGTACAAACAGTGACCATTCATTAACCTCTGTTTATCCTAATCCCCCATCCTGAGCATTAGTAGCTCCCTGCGTGTACACCTGATCCTGAATATACGTCCCTGCGTGTGCACTTTATCCACAATATACTCTGTGTGTACACACTTGATCCGCAATATACGTCCTGAATAAGCGGGTACACTTGATCCGCAATATACGTCCTGAATAAACGTGACTTGATCCGCAAGATACGTCCTGAATAAACGTGCTCCGTGCACACTTTTCTGATCATTACGTGACTGAATATACGTGTTCCGAATTATCGTCTGTTTCCTTTATAGCTGGGCTATAGCTTAGCTAGTTTCGGTCTGTTTCCTTTATAGCTGGGCTATAGCTTAGCTGGTTCGTAATATGCTCACTGAATAGACGTGCTCCGTGCTACACGTCTGATACCCGTACTGAAAAAACGTGCTCCGTGCTACACGTCTGAATCCGTCCTGAATAAACGTGCTGCGTGCTACACGTCTGTTTCCTTTATAGCTGGGCTATAGCTTAGCTGGTTCTGGGAGTCTATCTAGATGTAGGAGGATCTGCCATAGAGACTTCTGAGTCAGTCAGGCTTTACTAGCGTAGCAATCCGCTACAAAGGAATAATTAAGACTGAAAGCAATCCGATTTCATGTCACTTCAGAGATGCTAACTTCGGCTTCTTTAAGGCCCAACCCTCTAGGACAGGACTCTGGGAGATTTAGGCGTAACGATGCTTCAAGTTTTCATACTTATAAACAATAATCCTGGGTGGCTGCTTCATATTACATTTTTAGTCTTCCTAGAAGCCTGATCAATTGTTATGGCGAATTAAAGACGAAAAGATCATTTCAATTATATTATCTGGAATAGAATTGAGCAAGTACGACACAAGTGAAACAGATGCGGCAAAAAACAGGTCTTACGGAAAACAGCTTGACTTGGCATTGAAGTTAATAAGCAAAAACGCAAGAAAGTAGAAGGTTTGCAGAGGGGATAGCAAATGGGTTTCAGCATTAATAGATAAGAACAAATTCCGCAACTAACAAAATTTAATCCAGTCATTTCAATACAAGTGATTATAATTTACTCTCGTCTTAAATCCACTTGCACATATATTCCCATTAATCCCCACTAGATAGATAAAAAAAATATTTTTCGAGATTAGAAAAAAAAGCTGTTTAAACCTGAAGCGATAAGGTTGATGTACTTTGCTTGCATCAAGGTCAGGAGGGAAAAGTAAATAATGAAACAAGGGGCACTTCACTCGTGCATAAAATTAAAAGCAAGCACAGATTATTTACTGTACTCTTCCAAAATCACCCAGGCGTACAAACAAAGCCGATGCATGAAGGAAAGCTGCTGTGTAGTCAAAATGTAACCAAATCTATATGAACGCAAATCTATGTGGCAGAGACGGACTAGTTCATTGCCGTAGCAACAACGATGCCTGCTTTATCACTGCAAAGTTTCGAAAATTGACCCCCAATCCCTATAAGTCATAGCATCAAATATAGATTTGTGAATAAAAGAGCACATAAATCTATTTTATTAATTAAAAGACAGTTAGACCATTTTTGTTCACCAGAATTACAATTGCAAACTATGATAAGAGAGACAAGGATTGATCACATATCGTCACCACAATCACCATGGGGTGTGAACTGTAATCTACATTGACATCATTTTCAGAATGGTTAAGCGGTCTCTTCTTTATGGAAAACAGGTATGAGCATGCCAAATAAGCAGTATAACTGTCGTCGACTCAATCCAGATTTATTGGTGGTAGCTTTAGAAATATGGTATTATTTAGGCTCACGAGCCAATTAACTTCCTTCAAGACAGGAATTTTAACAATCACGTGACATTTTATATTTGTCATTGAC